CATCTGACTTGACCAGCTTGATGGTGATCGTCAACTGGAGCTCAGCCACCAGCTCACGGATGATGTCCACCCGTCGGCGAATCAACATCTCGGCATGAGCTTTTGTCCGGAGACGCGACCGGCCGCTCAGTGCGTCACCGACCCACTTATGAACGGTCGCCGAGTCCGTGCGGAGATCGATCACTCTGATCCCCCACGCGATCGCCATGTTGACGCCGCTGAGCGCCGCGTCCAGCTCAGCCATATTTATATGCATGGCTGCCTTAGTCTCCGGCCGCAGCCAGCTCCCGTCCTCCACTACGCCGCCTTCCGGATCCTCCAGGACGACGCCCGAGGCGAGACTGCTGGCGTCTGTCCATACGGTCAGCTTTTCACCCGTCAGCCTCCAGGGTCCACGGGCCGGGTCATTGGAGGTCACCCTTTCAGCCACTTGGCTGACTTGAGCGCGCAGGTCCGGGTCATCGATGGGGTCATCCCAGCCCTGACTGAGAGCATTAGCCCGTCTCTTTAGCCAGGCCGCAGCTGGACGCAGCCAGCCGGCCACTGGAAGGTGGGAAACCAGCTGGCCGCACCATGCAAACAGCGCCCTGCGCGTCATCACCTCTGGCGGTGCGCCGACGGGGTTGTCCCGGCGCCACTGCAGCTCTCCCGAGCGCGAACAGCTCACCTGCAGCCCCAGCATTCGAGCGCCGTCAGCCGGGCGCTGCGGTGGCTTGCAGACAAGGCCGTACCGGGAGAAGTGCTCTGCAACCTGCTCCGCGGAGATGACGTCCTCATTCACGAGAAGGTCGTCAACGTACGGGAGAACGCCCCGGCTGACCGCCTCGTTCTGCTCAAGTATAGTCCGCACCACAGATCTCATGATGTTCGGAGCTACATTCAGCCCATATGACATGCGCTGCAGGCAGTGAAGCTGACCACGCACTCGTACGGTGTGGTATGGCCAAAGCCGTCTGTCCAGCCGGAGCTGCATGTAGGCCTTTCTCAGATCGAGCACTGCCAATCGTGAGCCGTGCCGCCGCCAGCGACGGAGTTGCTCTGCGCACACCTCTGCGTCTGCTGTATGGGCGGTGACGTGCCTGTTGAGTTCGCGATAATCCAATACCGGCCGCACCTTGTCCTTGTTGGGCTGTTCAACCGCCATCAGAGGTATCAGACCGCGCGCTGGGCCGTCCACTCGCTCGTCATATGGCTGCAGCCACCCCTCTCGAGCCCACAGTTCCAGCTCCTCGTCATAGGCTGGCCGCGCCGCGTCCGGCACTTTGTACTGGGCGACAGTATTGTGGAGGCGGTCCGGGCCCTCTCCGTCTGTCCACTTCCAGGCCACAGTCCACTCGCCACTGTCCGCCGAAAACCGGGCCGTAAAATCCACGGCGTCCACTGACAGGTCCCCACGGTCCACACTGGCGGCCGGCGCCGCCCCTCTCACCGGACCCGCCCCCGTCACGGGCGCCGTCCCTGCCGCGGCCTTGGCATTGGCCGCCACCACTGCTCCATTTGTCACCGGCCCTGCCGCCGCCGTCTCGCCCTGCACCGCGGCCGCCGTTCCCACGACTTTAGGGGCCACCGTACGCACAGCTGGCGTCGCCACCGCCACCGCCGCCGTCGCTGCTGGCGGCGCCGTCTCCGTTGGCACCGCTGTCCTAGCAGCTGGCCTCGCCCCTGTCACCAGCGGCGGCACCGCCACCGCCGCCGTCGCTGCTGGCGCCGCTCCTGTCACCACCGTCGGCACCGCCGGTGCCGCTGCTTCCACAGCCGGCACCGCCCCCGTCACCAATGTCGGCGCCACCGCCGCTGCCGCTGCCGGCACCACTGCCGCACCAAATTCCACGCCATTGGGCATCTTCACACACACTCCGCCCAGTGCCACAATACCAGACATACCGAGCACCACGTCCATGCCCAGCGGCCGATCGGGTACGACCAGGGCCGTCAGGCTCGCCCGGTTCTCCCGGTGCTGCACGGTGATCTCAGCGATGCCCAGACAGCGCAGCGTCCCGCCGTTCACGGTCATCATGTTGACCGGGCGCGGTGACCAGTCCGAGCAGGCTCCAGCATGAACGAGTGTGTCCGTGCAGCCCGTGTCCACTAGAGCACGGCACTTACGCCCGTCCACGCTGATCCACACGACCGGAAGTGTGCGCGCTACTGATTGGGAGACGGCGCTGGCGCTGACGCGGTCTCCCGACCGTTTGGGCACCGTCTTGCGATGTGACCCACCTGGTCACATACCCAACAGCGCGGCGGGGGGCGGCTGGCTCTGCGCTCCATCGGTTTACGGCGGCTCGTTCCGTCGGCCCGCTCACGGGTCGCCGCCGCCACCGTGGAGGTGCGCTCGTCGCTGAGCACTGCCCGCGCCCTCGTCAGAATGCTGGCCAGGTCCAGCGCCTCTGCTCGAGTGCCGGCCCGAATCGCGCTGCGGACGGTGTCCGGCAGTCCAGCGATGAAGGCACAAGCGAGGGCCTTTTCCGATACTCCACCGTGCAGCGTGGCCAAACGGCGCAGGTCCGCCAGATAAACGTCGGCCGACTCGCCCGGCTGGAGACGGCGGCTGGCATACGCGTCGTAGGCCGCCAGCGGGTCCATGGCGAAGGCGTCGTACAGCGCGTCCCTGACGCTGTCCACGGAGCGGCGGCTCTCCTCTGACATCTGCAGCCAGACCGCGAAGGCACCGCCAGTCAGTCGTGCTGGCAGCACGAGCGCCAGATTCACCCCATGGTGCTTGCTCAACACCTCGGCACGGGTGAACCATTCCACTATGTCCGCACCGGTCCCTTCGCCACTGAACTCGGGTATTAGCCGAGGGTCGAAAGTGGCCCTTCCGCCGGACTCCGCTGCCGTCGGTGTCACACCAGCACTAGCACTCGCAGATGCCTTCACTTTAGGCATGGTGCCGAAATAGCTTGTAGTCGAGTGTATTGGGTGCTTCTCCTGCGACCGTTCCAACCACACTGCCAACCCTCTCGCACGACCCGGCGCCGCTACCACCGCGACTCGGCGCCCCCGTCGCCACACATGTAACAGGACACCCCCCTTGGACACATTTGTCAGTGTCGGCTAGACGGCGTCCCCCAGGCGCGTCTGGGCCACGCAGCGTCTCAGCCGGTCACACAGAGCTACACATAACTATAAACTACAGTGCCCAAACCGGTATTTGCAGGCCATGGCCACCAATTTGGCTATCTCAACTCAAAACTAATGTTAAGGTGGGAGTGTCCCTTTAAAGAGGTGTTCAATGTTATGTTGATACCAATAAAGTTTCCAAAAGGCGCTTGAAATATTTCTATGCTGATGTTTAGGACCAGGCTGCCAAATTATTGGTGGACCCTCCCTATATGATGGATGGCGATGAGTGAATAAACCTTCAATTGGGACAAATTGATAACACATACCAGGGTGAATCGTTATTGCTTGTCTTTTTTGAATGATGTTGAGTGTTTCTTTGAAAATGAGCCCCATTATTATTGAAAGATAAGCAAGTAATAGCCTTTGGCTCATTGTATAATAGACAAAAGAAATGGAAAAGAATCTATGTGCTTGTCTTTTTTGCTTTAAAATCACAAATTTGCCGCTATACATCATGGACTGCATATATAAATGGAAGCCCTGCTCGGCGGGCTGCCGTCCACCGCTCCTGCATGGCTGAAGCAGGGCCGTATAGACTGGACCTTCCTCTCCGCCGTTCAACTCCTGCAGTCACTGGTGCCTCTGTCTGATGGCACGCTGCACGCCGATCCGTGGCGGAGCGACCCACCCGTTCACCCTGACCGTCACTGCAGCACGGGGCGGCGGCGGCCAGCCGGCCAGTCCGGCGGGACTGCCGCTCTATTCTTGTGCAGCCGTTACACAGACGGCGACAAATGGCTGTCCGGAAATGGCACGCCGGCGGTGCCCGGCCTCCGCAGTGCCCCGGGGCATCTCGGCCGGTCACGCCGGCCCGCAGCCAGCCGACAGGGGCGCAATGTCCGGGCAATATGTCCTAGTCGAGGTCGCCGGCGCGGCGGTGGGCGGCGGCCGACGGCAGCCACGACGCAGCCCGTCGCAAATGGATTGGCTGTAAAATGGCTGCCGTTTCTCAGAGAATCGTCACTGATGGAGGTGTGCGCTATCGTGGACGATGTAGACGTTTTATGAGCGATAAGGTTGTGAAGGATGGATGTCGGGTTTGTTTTGGAAAGAAATTGTCCACGTTTATTCAGATGCTTCGCTTATAAGCTCTGCTCCAGTCCAAACAATTGCATAGCCTGCAACTTCGGTCAAAGTCTGAAAAGGTAAACAGCCAATTCAACTTAGAAGTACACACAAGTGCCCACGTTAAAAGCACACAGATTGCATATTCTTGGGGCTATATGAGTTCGCATCGCATTACGCATAATTCAGCCCGCACAGGTGGCGTTTGCTATTTCAGCTCGGTGGAGCACCCTCCTCCCCTCTCCTCCCAAATGAGACCAAATGAGAGTCGTCCTCGTCAGAGACAGTGACGCCATTCAGGTCACTGTTTGACGCCGACGCGGCCGTGTTTGGGTCGGAGCTCGACGCGCACCACACTTGTTTAGCAGGCTCCACAAACAGGGCCGTTGAAATGGCACCGGTCGCAGCTGCCGCGCCGATCTGCGGAGATCGTTTGGGGTGCCGACATGGCCCATGGCGTGTGTTTGGGCCGCTGAGGAGGCAGAAGGGCCGCCGCGCGAGCGCGGGCGAGCGGTGCTCGGCAGAGAGCGAAGTGCCTGGTGGAGGAAGCAGTAGTGTCTCACTAGATCGACAGGACAGAGAGGGACCGACGGAGTGCAAGAAAGAGCAGATCGAAAAACGGTGGACTGGTTGGTGACATGGCTCTCACCAGGCGGAACTAGTGATTGGTGATTACCGAACGCTGTAGTGACTGGTGTCGCGGTGATTACCGAACGCTGTAGTGATTGGTGACACGCTGACCGACCTCTGAGAGCGGGTGGTGAGCGCCAGCGGCCGGCGGGCCGCCGCTGAAGAGGTGATTGGTCGCCGCCCGTCCGGACGTCACCCCGTGTGATGGAGCAGCCGGCTGATGCCATATGACGTCGCACGGAAGTTCGCAGTCGCGTGGGATCCGACTCCCATTCATCTGGAACGGGCCGATGGGGAGCGGCGCGCTGCTGGTGGCCCTCATTAGCGCGGCGATTTGCCTACAAGGTAGGTCAGTAGGTGGCACATGGAATATTCCCAGCACATCTACGTAACTTATACCGAGACCTTTCAAGCAAGCGTGAGTATGTGCTGATAACCCAGCCCAACGCTCTGAGCACCCAGTGGAGGCAATGCAATGAATCAGCTACTGAAAAATTGATATCACTGGCATTTACACCATCACACCACTATATATCTGATGACGTGAGGACTCTGTCATGTGTAGTGAGCTGGCGATCAGCAACGACTCTGCAGAAAATGATCTGATAAACGAATGATACCTTGCCGATAAACTTGTTTTATGCGCTTATTATGTATGATTTTGACAAGCGCGTCAACATAAACGATTAACTGAACGCTGACGATTATGTAGATAGATTCACACTCTGTTGAAAGGTGCATCGCTTCTCGCAAAGAGCTCCGCTTCAACGCATCTCGTATTTAAAAGTGCAGCCATTTCCCAGATAAAATGGTGAGATATGGGGACGATGACTCAGAGTATCTTTAAAACCATTTACGCAGAAACAGGTTCCCTTGAATTACGAATCATTCTTATTAAATTAATCACAGTAGTCTCATCTGAATAATTCAGGTCTCAGGCACACATTCAATAGCAGAATGTGCCGGTTTCATTTCTTTGATAAAAAACCGACTGTGAAGCCCCATCAACCCACGTGCCTGCGTCATTGTGTCCCCAGCGGTCGCTTTCGACGGCCTCCCGCACACCATTGACGCGGAGGAGGGGACAGATGTCCGGATCCCGTGTCCGCAGTTCCGGGAAATACAGCACCCGCGTGGGATCCGTCTCGTGCTCTGGTTCAGAGAAAATGAGAACAATCCTATTACCAGGTGAGTGCGACAAGCAGTGATAAACAGCACGGTTCAGGGCCGTTTGACAGCATGTGAATTGAAAGGGATTAAAAAAATTGATGCGTGCATTCTGTTTTTTTTTTAGATTGGAGCATCTGATTGCTCCGCCATATCACACATTGCTGCTTCAAGCGCGTAGTTAATATCGGATTATTATTTTGCGGCGGTCCAGTGCAGCGCGGAGCGCAGAAACAGATCATTAGCACATCAAAGCTGACTGTGGGACCCTTTTACGTTGGCCAGTTTCGACGGTCGCGGTCGGTCACGGCCTGGCGAGCTGGCCGCGGGAGACCCTGACCTCCGGCTGACCCGTGTGACCCTGGGTCACAGCGGCCGGTACCGGTGTCGGGTAGACGCGGAGGATGACCCGACGGAGGTCAGCTGGGTCCAGCTGACCGTGCACGGTGGGTTTAGAGGGGGAGGGGAGAGGGACGCTGGCGGGAGGTGTGCTATCCCACAGTTGACGGCTATAACGCCTGTGTAGCTTTTTAAAGCCAGTTAAATAATTGGCTGTTTATCTGAGAATCTGTGAGACGATACCTTTGGGTATCGAGGCATGTATACGGGGATTGGAGTGACTCGAAATATGTATTTAACCCTCGCCTGTATTGGCGTTTTGCCAGCCGCGAACGTTTAAGGGGGAAGGGGTCCGTTGCCCCCCTCGCCGTTTCGTCCCCGATCAAGCTAGAGCTTCGCGAAAAACGAGCGTGTTGCCCGTGACGAGAGGAAGCCGATGATACCCAATGTTAAGGTCCTAGGTCATTGGTTGACCTTCCAGGTCAGGTCAATGAACCAAAAGTCGGAAAAATCGGGACATTGTTAGAACGTCGTAAAGTTTGACTGCTATGGAGTTTTTTTCGGGGTGCTGTTCGTGTTCACGAATATCATGTTAGTTTTAATCACAGATGATGTCTTCATGCATTTATGCCAGGTTGTGCCAGGTCAGGTCAGGTCAACCAATAGGGGTTTTGCCGGGTATTCGTAGTAGGCGTAAACCGCCTCTGACGCTCTTCTAACATGTTACGACGGCACCAAAACTACTGCGTAAATGTTCAAATGGTTGCTAAATTCGAATTCAGCTCCAAAAAGTAGTAAAGAAAGATGTAAATCTCGAAAAAGTGGACGGAGGTCATAAAAGGTCAATGACCTGACCTGACCTTCAGGTGACCTTGACACCCACCCTAATGCATGGGAGCAGCATCATATCCCAGGTTTGAACGCTTGAAACCACGAAAAGACGCGCGGCTAATGCGAGCCGACATACCCCGAATCGCAATTCCGGCCAAACATGGTCTCGAAGAGTAGAACACAGGTCAAAGGTCATTTAAGCCAGGGTCATGAATTTTGAGGGTAATTGAATAACGCGAGGGTACTGAAAGTTCCGTTGCGATCAGCCGCTTTCTACGCGAGTTATTCGCGAAAAACGAGGGGTGGGCCATTCGACGCCCACCCCCCCCCCCCCCGCTCCTCATATACGGGCTAGGGTTACCAAAGCATTCGCTCTCAAGTTAAAAACAATTTTCTGTGAACGACTTTGAACAAAGGTTGGAAACGATTTACTGGAAAATTTTGCCGCATGTGTGATAAACTTTTACTTTACTACGGAATCAGGGATAGTTACGCGCCGGGAACAATACCTACTTTCTATAACTGATGTTCTTGAGCTAACTCCATCCAGACTTCTTGAAATCCTATGAGTTGGTGCGATTATTCACAGAAACACCGGCCGTCCCGTCTCTGAAGATCCTTGGACAGTATCATGACGAGCTCAACCCCACAGGAGAAATGTCCACGGTGGAATACGAAACAGCTCGACTTATTTGTCAGCTGGCAAATGGTGAGATAAAGACGACGCGAATCTGATTGGAAGAGACTGTGACTTTGAAAAATGATATTTTGCACTGCAGTTGCAGTTCGCTGCTGCCTTTTATTAAGGGTAGACATGTGCCTGATAATTGCATGCACTGATCCTCACCTATTCATCTTTTTTTTATAAACGGTTTAGCTGATATGACAATAGATGTGAAAATAGATAGAGTGCTTAGGTACTGCTTATATGCAAGATTATAAAACACAACTGTTCAAAGAAGGTCGCTTCTGCCATTGCGGCAGGAGGAGGCCAGACCTGGAACATCGCCTGGCTGATACGCCGACCGGGAGAGAAGGAACAGCTTCTTTCATCGGAAACGAGCAGGGACAACCCGTCTGAGCAGAAACTCGACTACAACGTCACTAGGAGCGATGACAGCGCCGCCCTGGTGTGCAGGGCAGGAACTGCAGCGGGGGAGAGCGTCAGCGCCGAGGTGTCACTCCGAGTTTCCTGTGAGTGCTGCCAACTGCAAGTGGCATTCTGACGGTTTAGAGCAGTCAAAATATCGCCGTCACTACTGCTAGTTAGCTATGTAAGGCTGCTACTGATATACTACATAGTAGGTCACCTGATAGAACGTGATTTATACATATATGATCACTATTTAATTTCAATAGCTTTTTATATATCGGTTGTAGGTAATCGCCCATTCCTATCGTTCCAGAAACAAGTCTTAAAAGAAGTTTACTCTGTGATTTTCTAGATAATCAATACCGGACTTTGCTTCTGACATACCAGACCTATTGCCAGACTGGACCTGTCTGACGGATACCGTTGTCAAGCATACCAAACAAAACAAATAGGTAGGTATTCATTGCTTGACTCACGTGTCAATAAACCCCCACTCTCCCTCCCTCCCTCCCTCTCTCTCTCTCTCTCTCTCTCTCTCTCTCTCTCTCTCTCTCTCTCTCTCTCTCAATCTCTCCCTTCCCCCTCTCTCTCTCTCACTTTCTCTCTCTATCTCTCCCTCCCTCCCTCCCTCCCTCCCTCTCTCCGCTCCTGCAGACGGACCCGACTCTGTGACGCTGCGCTGTGAGCCGGACGCCGTCGCCGCCGGCAGTGAGGTCACGTGTGCCTGTCACGTGCTCCCCGGATGGACGGGATACAAAGTCACGTGGCTCTGGGGTGCGACATTCGTCGCAGATGAGCACCAGGTGGGCAGAAGCATATTTTTAGATTTGAATAGCCAGGCGTTTTCTAATGGATGAGATGGCAGTGACTTAGAAAATAATACACAGAAGACTTTCATTTATTCAATTTGATTTTTTAGGGAAATATCTAATACCTACCTGCTTAGGTTCATAAGCAAAATGACTATATTTCGGATTTCATCCTTCTCTTCACAAACTACATGCAAGAACACCCGTAATTAATGCGAAATGTCAGAAAACTCTTCTATATTAGATAATATCCCCATGTTCCGTTTTTATCGTAGGTATAGTTGAAGGCCAGCTCGTAGTTCCTGAGCGCAATCCGCTGTCGGTGGGCCATAGATCCCCCTGCCAACAAACAACTCACGGATATTTCAGTCAACTGCGCTGACGTCACATCACCTCCCCGAGAAGACGTCACATCAGCTGACGAGGGTGACGTCACCGGACGATGACGGACGTCAGGTGACATGTTCGGTGACGAACCCCGTCAGCGGCCAGGAACGGCGAGCGAACTCCACCATTGGCGTGCAGTGTGAGTGTGCTTTTATAAATCACAGCGAGTGGTTGGCAAAAGGATGTCGGTCAAAATTTCCCAAATTTCGCAAAATCGAGATACCAGTTTGATAGCTACGTGTATTTGCAGTCCACTCATGTAAGGAAAGTGGATCTAGCTCATAAACTGAGCTCTTGAGAGCGTTTGCCGTAATTCAATATTATGCATAAAAATCGGCCGACATGACGTCACTCGGACGTAATTTCCGGCCAAACTATAGTAGCTAGAAAATTGAACTTTTACCAGAAGGTGTCAAATTGATGCCGCTGAGGGTGCCGCAAGTTTCGTGTGGATTTGCCAAATGTTTTAGAAGATATTGCCGAAAAACGGGAGGGAGGCTCTGTAGAGTCCCCCCCCCCCCTCCCCCAGTAATGCGCGGGTTAAAAGAAAATGTAAGTCAGACTCGGAAAGCAGTTGCCAGTTGCGCCAGTTTAACATAGAACTCAATGTGATAAGTCACTCGCAATGTAAAACTGCCGCCATATCCCATTTCAGACGCCCCAAAGGCGATTCTCTCGGGGCCCTCGTCCGAGCTAGTGGAAGGCAACGACGCTCACTTTTCCTGCTTCGTTCGAGCTCAACCTTCAGCACAGTTTACCTTCTGGCTTCATAACGTGAGTTCCTGGAACGGGGAGATAAACAACTCGATATTATTTCCACTGGGAAATCTTCTCGTGATTACTATACAAATTCCACAAGATACACAATATCCCACAGGTGTGGGTGAAGATGTAAGGACTTAATTGTACCCGACAAACACTTTTTGTTGTTGCTAGAGCATTGCGTTTGAACACAGCTTTTCATTAATTAATTCATTAATATGCATCCAGCATCAAGCACACACACTTAATGACCTCAAAGGAAACATCAACAGCTTGTGATTATTTTTGGCAGAAGTTGGTAAAAAGATAAAAGAAAGCTGCGGTTCGGGTCACTTACCATTAAATGTCATTGGTATGTTTCTAACTATGCATCTGCGAAGAAGCACCTAGAGCATGCGGATGGGCATATGCACATAGTTTCTAAAACAGACTCGTGGTCCCTGGTTTCCACTTCCTGATGGTCGCAAGCGATGGAGGATTGCGATGTAGCACGTAATGCGATACATCTAATATGCACTTGCGTGCCTGTTACCCAGTTAGCCCGAGACGCCTGTGATGTACTAGCACTAAGGACTGACGTACAACGTGACTTTTGGAGAGCCTCCGAAACAAAGCGTGACCGGGTGAGGCTTATATAACGCACCGAGTGTGCCGTCTCCTCCAGCGGCCATCAAAGCGAGGCTGCCACATAGTGCGGTCACCGGGACCTTTACACTTTCAAAGAGAACCGGAGGACCCGGCCGCGATTTTGTTTTAATCAAACCGAAATGACACCTTTGTGGTGATTACAGGGTTCCGTGTAGTCATCGTGACGAGGCGTTTGAAGCTGCTTCACTCTTATGTTATTATCAGGGGTCCCACGGAGCCGGGAGCGACACGACGCGACTCAGAGCTGATTATTTATGTCAGCTTCCTCAATACATTTCTGACTGTAATCTCTGTCTGGAACGTCGAACCACTATGCATGAATACGGAGCACTCCAGGAGCAGACGACTGTCACGACTTATTCAAATTCTGTTCACAATGTTTCTTATCTACTTGTCACTATACATATATTCTGTGCAGTAATCAAGATAGTTCGTATATGCTCAGGAGTCAGGGGCATGGTAAATAGTCATGAGTTATGACCCCATTGGACCGGAGGCTGACCTATCCTCTCCACTCAGGACAGGCAGCTGGTGTCCAGCGATCGCATTGTGGCCGGACCGCAGCTTCTCATCATCAAGAACCTCACTCCTAACGATACAGGACGGTACGCCTGCTTCGCCAACAACACCCTGGGGGCAGGGCTCAGCAACACTGTGAACCTCGAGCTAAAGTGTGAGTAAAGTGATGACGTCACGAGTAAACAAGATGAGCAGCTGAAGTTACAGTGAATGATGCCTGTTACATAAAATACAACATTATGACCGAATTGAAGAGCTGTTGTCCAGCCTTCCCTGACACACGCATACACAAAATAACTCAGCAGTTGACCGGTTGTCGCCATATATCCTCAGACGCTCCGGTCTGCCGGTCCGAGGCGGTACTGCGGCAGTTCGCGGCGCCCTCCCGCGTCACATTTGTCAGCTGCAGGGTACGCGCTCAGCCGCGTCCTTCTCAGTTCCACTGGGAGCTGCAGCCGGCTAACGGAGGCCCAACGCGCACCCTCCTTCGGTCAGCGCACTCCGATAAAGGTGGGGGCACACCGCGCCTTGATGAGGTAATGATAAGGTGAGTTGACACTAGCTTTGGTAAAAACTAAGCTAGTCTGGCAGTAGCGATTTAACCGCGTTTTGTGCATTTCCGAAAATCAGGTGAGGGTAACAGCAGCCAGAAACGTTATTAACCCATTTATGCCCAGGAATATTGACTATCATGAAAATCGACGAAATCAAAATATGTTATGCTCCTACCAGGGCCTTGCATGGAATCGAAAATAATTTTTGCCTGCAGCAAAAGTTTTTCGAGAAAAACGTAAAAAACATGCGTTGCGAAATCGCAACGAAGGGCACACCGGGCGCCATCAGCGTTGCGAAAACGCAACGACGGGCACATCAGACGGACATAAAGTACACTGAACTGCCGTATATGCTAATATGTTTTGACAAAACATCAATCAACTGTTGACAACTATTGCTTGAAAATACGGAACCCACATCCGTCATGCTCTATAACCCACTAAGAGCCTCAGTGCGGAAGTATAACTTCATGATTCGCGAACGGGGAGATGGCAACACGGTCATTATCAACCATTTACGTTGTCCATTGCTGTTCATTTAAAGTTGTGGTCGACACGTATCCAGGGTGATGCTTTCTTTTTGGAAGCTAGACAGAGCCATTACCCCCACCTATCAGACGCCACACTGAATACGGGAGTAAACCAGTGCCTCACGTATGCGCGTATATCCGCAATCATTGTTAACCACCCTCCTAGGAGTAAAGTTAAATTCCATTGCAGGTTAGTCGTACCCACTTTCAGCAAAAAGAAAAAAAGGACCGATCCGGCCCTAACAAATTACCCGCGTAAGGCGTAGCGCATCACGACAAATCGACTCCCAGTTAATCATGTTTACACCTAATCCAAAATTTTCATGGCCCCACTCTCAGCGACCTTCACGTGTAACCTCTTTCTCGAGACAATGCCAGGAGAATGGTGATTCGACGTCAATCCGTCCTTTCCATCTTCAGGATAGTTGAATCCTCCTCCACGCCCCAACCCCCTGTTCCGGGCTGGACCGCGGTTGCCGCGGCAACGTCTATCGCAATCGGGCAGCTCACATAGGAGCGCGCCTGTAGCCGGGTGCAGTGAGTGCTTGGGAGGGGGAAGGGGTGGGTCATGGGTGGCCTGCCCACTGGCTGGGCTCAGTCTCCAGTCTACGATTAACCGTGTCCGGTCAGACAAATGTCTCCCCTAATTCCAATAATCCTGCTAGCTCTAAAAATGGTCTGATTAGATAAAAAGCCTATCAAAGTAAGAAAACAAGCGTATGCTCCACATCAAGCAGCTTGAATCTATGCGAGTTATGAATCCTAAAAATTAGTATTTTCCCAGGTCCGCCCTCATTTCCCCTGCCGAAGGGCTCAGCTACCCCCAGAGGGGGCCTATCCCACTATTTGCCAGCCCTCAGTTATCTTTTCTAACTTAAATGTTGGTAGTCCGCAGATTCTATCCAGAGAATGGCGATGCCTATCTGTCGCCTGATACCAGAATACATCCCCGTTATTCATTATATATGATATGCACAATGTACATAGTAGATCCAATTTCCAAAGGACCTAATTATCTCTCAGCTCCGTCAGCATCGCCGACCATTTGATGCATGGGTCCTTTTCTTACCATGCGATTTTCAGATGCATGGGAACACATTGCTTAGTGAACGAACAGCCCGAGGCCGATAATCTGCGAGATAAAAAGAAAGGAGTGTTTGTGGCTGTTTGAGCCAGCAAATATGAAATGTGTCGCAACATTTTACGTGCGAACGCACCTTGCACTTAACATACCTATACACTTCCCACATGGCATAGGCGGCGGAGCGGGGGGAGGAACGCACCGTGCCCCCCTTGATTTTGCCATTTTAACATTATCCCTATAGACGTTGCATGGAAATGGAAATGGAAAGAATGGGACCAAAAGTCGGCAGTGCCCCCCCCCCCCCTTAATCGAAGATGTTCCGCCGCTACAGCCTCATGGCATACAAAATGAGAGAGAGAGAGAAAGAAGAAAGAGAGAGAGAGAGAGAGAGAAAGAGAGAGGGAGAGGGAGGGAGAGAGTTGGGGAACGAGGAGGAGAGGGAGGAAGATGGGGGAGAGAATGAGAGAACCCACAGCGTATCACGAGTGAAGTCTATTGCTGATATTCATGCTTCCGCTACCCTGCCAATGTGCCCATCGTTGCGTTTTCGCAACACCGCTGTCTTTCCGATGTGCCCTTCGTTGCGTTCCCGCAACGCGACCGTAGTCATATTTGAAAATAGTCACAAACCCTTTTTGTAGCATTATTTCTTAACAAAATGCATATCTACGCTATTGTAGGGACTCTGCAGAATATGTTTACACAATGTTCATTATGATATTATTAAGCACTTAGCCTACTTATCTTGGTTTTCGTGACGTCATCACTCACAAAACCTTCAACTTCCCTCTGGGAGCTCTAGGCAGTACCTTACCGGCCGCACAGACTTGTAACTGCGTAGCATCATGCGCACAACCATACTACACACGCTGAAACTTGTCTCATCGGTTAGTCTCTTTTACACACTTCTCAAGCTTCGATCACGTCGACGCTTGCTTGCGTTGCGAAAACGCAACGAAGGGCGTAAATGGGTTAAGTTAGAACGATATCCATCGATCAAGGTCAAAGATCTTTCCCATAACTCAGTCATCCGTAAAATTAGGAAATTAAAACAACTGGACCAAAGCAATAGCGAAACTATTTCTGGCAAGAAGGAAAAGCGTAATTCTTGCACCATTGCAACATGATTACCTACAGATAAGACTGAAATAATTCTATTCAGGAATACATATATGTTAAAATGCTGAATGAGATTACAACGTCCAACGTTGCCCACACTGATTAACCGCGCCCTGCTGGGTGGGGGTGGGGGGGGGGGGTGTTTGAACACCCCCCCTTGTGGTTTTTCGCGAATATCTCAAAAACGGCGGCGCGGAACGCCGCCGTTTTTGGTACACCTTATCATACATCAATTCTACACATGTTGTGAAAATTTCAGACCAAGGTCATTCAAGGTCAGGTCACCAGGTCACTTGAAGTGACCTCACCTCATAAAAAGTTTCAATGTCTGTCATAGCTACACCGAGTGACCGATCGCTTTGAAACTTTCAGCGATTGCTAAGAGCAATAGGCATGTACAAAATGTATATCTCAGAATTTTGATATCGATGACCTAAGGTCAGGTCAATTTTGCGACCTCCCCAAATTATAAGTCAATGGGAGAAAATAGAAATGCGCCTCTTTTGGACGAAAGACATTATAAACACTCCCAAATACTGAATTACAAGTGGTTTAGACACACTGAACATGAAAATGGTGTCCGTGACCCCTGTTTATGCCCTGAGGTCATCTTAGGTCACGAATGGTATCTAACAGTTTTTCGCAAATAACTTTTGATAGAGGCATGCTAGAGCGATGAAAACGCCTTATATGTGTTCAGCTCGACGATACGGATCGACTGATATGCAACATGACCCTTTCCGGTCAGGACATGACCTTGACCTGAGGTCAAATTTTCAAGTTGATCTTTCAAGGTCAAGTTATAGTTCATTCGATGCGTCTTGACGATAGGAACACGATGCCGGTAAAAGTAAGCTCGTACAAGGCTTGGGTCAAAAATTACTGCAGAAAAACTGTTTCCGAAAAAATCGGCTATTTTTGCAGTTTTTACCCCCTGCAGGCAAAACCGTTGACGTTAGATCAAATCTGAGAAAATTACTCAGAAAGGGCGTTAATAGGGCTATCGAATGCGCTTTTCCGCGGCGCTGTAGCTCTATTGGTCCCCGAGTTATGCGTTGGCTTCTTGGAAATTGTCGACATTCGACCTGGAAAACGGCGAAATTTTGCCTTCAATGACCTCTGGTGACCTGACCTTTGACCTGACAAAAAAATTGACCAATGTGATTTCCTCATTATTTTTGACGCTCTTTCGAACGCCGCCTTCCGCGTATCGCTACGTGGCCCAGGAGCCGAGTTAGAAGGGGGGGTGTTCAAACACCCCCCCCCAGCAGGGCGTGGAAATCCAGGACCCCCAGCCGGGCGCGGGTTAACACGAGGCTATATAACTTTCTTCGACCACCGGTGGACCAGGGAAGAAGCATTGGACGCTACGGGAACGGTCATGCCTCAAACAACTTTCCCTAAATAGAAGTTCTCGGAGTTCGCTTGCTTACTCGTTGCCAGGTAGTTCAATGCAAACTTTACCTCATAAAAATGTTTTCTTCATTAAAAGATATCGTTTTCATCCACTTTGGAAGCTACGGGGATCCGCCAGTGCCCAGCATATACACAAGGTTCACTTTGAACACACCAAGGTAAACATGTTCAAACGTAATATGCATATTGCATAGGTATGCAAAACAGTTCTTCATAACAAACAGCACAGCCCACACATGTAACCTCATAGTTCACACAGTGTGGCCGTACCCGGATTTGAGCCCGTGACCTTCCCTTCGGTACAGGTCACAGCAGCGTGTTACAGTGGACGCCCACGGCAGGAACCGACTATGGCAGACTGCTGTGTCGGGCCACCAACTCGCTGGGTCGACAACTGGAGCCGTGTCGGGTCGACCTGGTGCCCCCGGGTGAGTTACAGCTGACAGGGGGGGGGGGACACGGAACACTGAGCTCAGTCACACACAGGAAATGGCCGGGTGGATGGAAGTGCCACGAAGTCGAGTGGTTTGTGGCATGATTGTGCGGTGCTATGATAAATTATAAGGAAGAAAAGCGGGTTAGAAAGGATGATTTATTCCCAAACATTGAGTTATTCCAAGAGAATTCCGATATGGCCGTCGTTGTTTGACTCAAATGCATCAATTGACTGTTGCCAGTATGTACATATACTGACCATTGAAGGTAATGCTGATGGACGTCTCCCGGATATTCAGCGCCCCAGGTAACAATCGGTGATCTGAAGCTATGGTGACGGCGGATCTTTATTTTCAGAACGGCCGGATCCCGTGCACAACTGCACCGTGTCACTGTCAGAGGCTGTCATCAGCTGCACACCCGGACCTGACGGAGGAATGGCCAACTGGTACACCCTCTGGCTGTACGGACCGAACGAACAACTAGTCGGAAACTGGACTGAAAATCAGCCACACTTTATGTAAGTCGCCTGTTCAAGAGAACAAAAAAAAAAAAAAAACGTTCGAGATTCATCACCGCATGACAATATCACAAAATGCGTCTTTTTATCAGAGTGTTCACCTCATGTGCTATGCCGTATTTAGCAATCCATAAACGAGTGTTAATGACTTCTATCATTTGACTACATGTAGCAATATCGTAAGTTCATCGCGAACCTCGATTGTGCTGTTTTCTGTTTTCAGCGTCCCTGTGAGTTCCCTGCCGCCCGGTCAGTACAGGGCAGAGGTCACAGCCGAGTCGCCGGCGGGTCGGAGCGAGACGACCAGCCTTCAGTTCCGTCCGCAGCCCAGCGTCGGCTCCCACACAGACGGTGCGTGCTTTATCTGCCACTCAACGGATAGAACAGTTCAGAGTGAGCATCAGAGAAAAAATGCAGACAGTTTATAGACTGTGTCATGGCCGCGAACAAGGGCAGAACTTAAGTAATTATTTATTTGAGGTGATTTGAGCGACTTGGGAAAAAACAGAACTGATTGTAGAGTCTCCGACGCTACTTGTGATGTAACTTAGCACATTCGATCATCTGAACAATTAATTAGCTGCTGATCTGATTGATCAGATGTTTGGCTAACGACCATCGATGCAACACGCGGCTCGAAGCCATTCACTCCCCGCAGCCGTTTTTCCAACTGCGGCGGGTGGTCAGACTGTACCGGCGCCATACGTGTACTGCGGCACAGCCTACCACTCCGCCGTGCCGCTAACACCGCGCTGCAGTCTCCCGCCAGGCGGAGTCATGGGCGTCAGGCAGGGGCGCGCGTGATGTTATGCTGTAGGTATTACGTTGTTCAAATACCACTTAGACAGTTATGAACAACGGAGCCAAACGAGTGTGACAGCTCTCCCCGGGGCACAGTGATGCAAATCAGTCGGGGAAACTGTGGTCAAATCTTCCATTTTTAGAAAGCCTTCCATTTTTGGAAGGATTTTCTATATATGGGTACGCACCTTCCAAAAATGGGTACGCTGACGACGTCATCGTACCCAAATATAGAAAATGTTGCGCATATGTTGGAACTTACCGATTTCCGCCGAACATGAGGCAAATGCGACTATCGCCCCTGGTCGCTTTCTATTCGCCATAGTGAAGTGTCCATAATCTAGCGTGGATGCCTAAATCCTAGCGTGGATGTATTTTAGGTAATTTTTCAAAGTAATGAGTCGTGGAAAATTGACAAAAATTGACCGACAAACGATGGTTTTATAAGACTTTATCAAACATTTTGTAAGCAAAAAGCATCAAAAACGAAAAGTAAATATCCTTAAAAGTACTTTAGTGACGGGCCATGCTTGTTCGATACCGCCGACTTTATTTACAGTGCGGAATTGTCTGGACAGAGTGCGGCGGTTTCGGGAGTGTAGTGGCGAGTAAAACTTGTATTTGTTGCCGTTTTCTGCATTTATTAGCATATTGTGTGGTTGATTTCAATTTTTAAGGCTTTTGCCAAACATTTGGGTGGAGGTCTCGTCATTTTTCAATGTTTTTTTCCGGAATATGGGACGAATTAAATAGGCGTTGCTGCGCCGTTTTTCGTGTTACTTTCTATCGAAGGAGCATGAATCTTCAATTTATATGAGGAATAGTAAGTTTAATTTAAACCATTTTTTGTCAGGGCTATAGCTGTGTTCCTCCTGGTTGGTTATTGACCAGCTGTTTTCTCTTCTGAATTTCTATGTGTCCTCTAGAAGTAGAAAAAGAGAGCAGTGCGCCAGGACACCATGCTATTATATCACTATGTACATTGACATAGCATGCCTGTATTACCAACACTAGCACTGCTGCTTCTCCTTATATCAATGATCATAAATGGCAAAATCAACTATTAATGTTACACATTTAAAAAGGCCGTAACTTAAATCAAAGAATGTGAATCACAGTTGGGAACACTGAGATTAGACCTTCCAATTTTGGAAGCCTTCCATTTTTGGAAAATGCATACCCATTTATGGAAGGTCCTTCCAAAAATGAAAGGCTTCCAAAAATAGAAGATTTGACCACAGTTTCCCCCACTGAAATGGGGTTCACGAGTGGCCATAAATACCCAAAAGTCAAGTTTAACAAATCGTGTTAATTGCGATATGGCCGAGTAGACAAATGTTTGGGGAATCTGAAATCACATGGTTTTCATGTTTTTGTCAAAAACGGCCTCGTGTATAATCGTCAGAAGTCGAGACATTTTCTAGGTCGTAAAATGACGGTCAGACACTCGCAAGTTGAAACGCCGCTGGTTTGCGTTCATTTCGTACAAATTGAAAAATTATGCATGGGAATGATCCCCAAAGCCTTCTGCTTCTAAGGCCGGTTCACAAAAAGCCGTATCTCATTCGCTTTGGCGGTAATCTGACTATTTATCATCATGTTGCAATCGCAGTTTTTTACTAAGAAAAAAATGCTTTCGTTTCACCTACAGCACTTAACACAGTGTGTGCCCGTTAGTCCACCATACCTTAGCCTTCCCTAATAATTTCTGAGTCGCATCGTGAAAGAATTAAGGCGCTAGCACAGGGCTGACCGGCGCTACAGAGGTTTTTGTCCGGGCGATCGGGTGCCGCAGTGGGCGGGTGGGTGCCGCCGCGCGGCGTCCGGGCGGCGCGGCGGCGCGGCCGCCCGCTGCGCCGCGGCACCCGGCCGTGCCGGACAAAAACCTCTGTAGCGCCGGTCAGCCCTGTGCTAGCGCCTTAATTCTTTCACGATGCGACTCAGAAATTATTAGGGAAGGCTAAGGTATGGTGGACTAACGGGCACACACTGTGTTAAGTGCTGTAGGTGAAACGAAAGCATTTTTTTCTTAGTAAAAAACTGCGATTGCAACATGATGATAAATAGTCAGATTACCGCCAAAGCGAATGAGATACGGCTTTTTGTGAACCGGCCTTAGAAGCAGAAGGCTTTGGGGATCATTCCCATGCATAATTTTTCAATTTGTACGAAATGAACGCAAACCAGCGGCGTTTCAACTTGCGAGTGTCTGACCGTCATTTTACGACCTAGAAAATGTCTCGACTTCTGACAATCCTACACGAGGCCGGTTTTGACAAAAACATTAAAATCATACTTTTTCAGACACCCCAAACATTTGCCTGACTGACCATATTACGATTTATTCGATTAAGTGAACTTGAATTTTGGGCCTTTTTCGTATTTATGGCCACTCGTGAACCCCATTTGCATCACTGTGCGGGGTCTTCGATAGAGGTCATGGAGAGACCTATAGCCTCGTGACGGAGGACGGACTGCGTGTCTTTGAAGCATGCCTTTAGTGCCACTGCCTACTGCCTACTCCATATAAAGTGTAGCCTACACTTTGTTGGTAAGATAGCAATGACTTCTTCACGCATAGTTTCAAAGTATTGAAATAATAAGCTGGGGAATAAAAACATGTGTTTGACTATCAAAGTTAATTTTCTACGTTTTCAGAGAGCGGCGAGTTCTCAGTGAACTCCTGGGTCCTGGGTGGCGCCATCTTCGCGCTGCTGGCCGTCGTCGCACTAGTGATTGTGTCCGTGCACGTCAGATGTCACTGTACGCCGATCAGCGACGTGGGCTCGTGCCGCAGCTCTCCCGATCGGTCGGAGCTGCTCAGGCAGCGCTCCTGTGCGCCGCAGCAGCAGCCCATCTACGCAGGTAAGGCGGCTGGAGACATGCGAGCCTGTAGCCTACCTATTTGCATCGACCGATAAACAAATCTTCTTGGAAATAGCTAACCAGCCTCATTGATCAAGGAAACCCTCGACTGTGCTAAGATAACCAGCTCAGAAGCTTTAGATACCTTGCTCATACAGCAGTTTGCGTTACTCGGTCTACTGTCCCGTCCCACAGAAGTACAGCGGAGGCGCTCGCCTCATCCGCCGCCCCCTCCGCCACGCCGACTGAGCTGCGACGAACCGGGACAGCCGCACTATTCAGGACACAGGACCAGTCGCAGCCGCACCCCCCAGCCACCAGAGCGGGGGTACCGGGAGCGGAGCCGCACCCCTCAGCCGCCGGAGCACACAGCCAACGGACGGGATCCGCTCCACAGGAGCAGCTCTCTTCTTCCGTCCCCCGTCCAGCGCGGACCCTCAGAGGACGCGGTCGGTCGGTGGCCGGGGGGACGCGGAGGGACCCTGCAGGTGGTGCGGGGTACGCACCGGACCCCAGTGCACCGGTGTCGGTCCTTACCAGTGCCCCCTCCCGTGGTGACCCAGCTGAGGGGACGGTCTGTGCAGCCAGCGGATTCACACACACTGCCCCGCAGAAGGGAGCAACAGGAGACGGCGAAAGCACAGGTGACTGCTTGCTGCTGGATAGTCAAACAGAGTAGACAGGGCAGGGGGAGAGTATCATGTTTTACAGTTGTAAAAGTGTTGAGAAAATATTTGTGCTGTATAAAATGTTTGCTGTTTAAACAAATATTTATCCGAGTTGAGGGCGAGTTTGTGTAATATTCGACATCATGCACTTATCCAGGCTTTTCGAATAAACGTAGTCTTGCCACCTTGATGCGCATAGCCCTTTAGACATATTGAGGATCCGTGAGTAACAATGCCTCTCTCCATTTGCCAGTGTCTGAGCCACAGCAGCGCGGACGTGCGACACGAGGACCCCGAGTCTGCCGTCCAGGTCCACCTACAGCCGCCCACACCGGCGTCCACCGCATCCACAACGTCCACCGTGGACGACCAGGCGGAGGTCCACACGCCCGAGGAGTCGGAGGAAGGGGCAGAGGACGCTTACCAAGACCTCCAAGACCCAGACACGGCCCCTGGAGGAGACGGAGACTGCAGACGAGCAAAGATGAGGCCTTAGAAGACGGAAAAAATGCAAACAAAAGCGCATATGTGAGGACTTCGCCGCAGCAACCGATGCAAAAGGAAAACTGATGAGAGTAATAATACAGTGTGCTATGGATGTTGGTGTATCAAATTTGGATGAACCGAAATAAGTTCCTTTTGCTGTCACCATCGGATACTGCTATCTGATTTGTTATACGGTATTGGTGTTGTTCCTCTAATTGCCTGCGATCAAACGGGTCTACTCTACGCTGATAGGAGACTGTTTTATGCCCACCAACCGTTACATGTGTGCCTGTGTTGTAAATGTTAGCATCCTAAGGCATCAAGTTCTGTAAATAAACCAGGAGATGACAATTATTGAAAACAACTGTCAAGAAGCAGTGTAAGTGATTTCACAGATTCAGACATTCAGTGATCGAGCCTTGTTTTGCAGTCACGTATAATGCAACCGAATTTCAGCCCACGCATTGATAACAAGAGCCAAAGTCTCCCAAAATGACATGAATCCTCCCGCCAGACACGAGGAGCTACATAAAGTCACTGTATTACATGTAATAAACTCATCGACACCATTGCCCTACCAAACTCCTCCACTCACTCACTTCCACTCCCCATCCCATCCCGTCCCATCCTTCCCAGCACTGCTAGACAAACCGTGTCGCCAGGGAGAGGATCTTGGTGAAATCTCCCGACTTCTTGTGACTCATTCGCTGCAACCTCTCCCGAATCACGTTCGGAATGGGCACGTGGATCCTCGTGCCCAGCGGAGTGCCGGCGTCGTCAATGAGTACCACGTTGTTGGTGTCGAACTTGGGTACCATCGACATGGGGTGCTGGGTCTTGACGCAGCCCACCAGGAGGCCCTTCCGCTTCTGACCGCGGATAGCCATCAGGACCTTATCACCTGTGGGGCGGACGGGAGAGTCAGACGGACGAAAAGTGGATTTGGACTTGGAGATGGGAGGCAAGGATGAGAACGGCGGGGGAAGTGTGAAATAAAAGACAGAAAGCGACAACACTGGGCGAAAAGGATTGATGGAGACAGTTGGTTCTGCCCGATGCTGTCAATATTCCTTCAAAAGCTAATGCTACTTTTGATCTTCATTCGGGCATATCTATACTCAGAAACCACGCAATACACAAACCTTATGACAAAACCTATTACCTACCGACACAACAATACTTCAGCGCAACACTCAAGTCGTGCTTCGGCAGCTCCCAACTACCACCCTCTCCCCTCGGTAATGCTCCAAACGACCACTCCACGGCAGTAACCCAACTCACCACCCTCTAGCGGTACCTCAACCATCCCACCCTCGCCATCACCCTGACCCCCTGCCCCTCATCCCTTCTCCGACTCACCGACGGTGGCCACGGCTCGTTTGTTGTAGACGTGGATGACGCGCGGCGGACGGCCCTCCGCCATCGCCTCCTTCCCGATCTGACTGTTATCCACCACCCGCAGTCGGGCCAGCTTACGAATCTCACACCGCGGCGCCGAGGTGCTCAGTGGCGCCGCGGGGCGGCAGGCGGCCGAACTAGCCGGCCGCAGAAACGACACCGCAGAACGAGCTAGCATTCTGCTCTCAGTGAGACACCTGTGAGAGGAGAGGGGGGGGGGGGGCATGGTTAGTGACATGCGAAATGGGGGGATAGATGAGATGAGATGAGACATAATGCGTATTTTATCCTTGAGGTCAATACAATACATATGGAGTAGTCGGGAATAGGGACAAATCCGCCCAGCGAGCCGTGGTTTGTGCGCAGATGTTTGACGTCCTTTATATGGCCTTGCGTTCTTGCGGCATCACGCCATGTCAAACCAAAGACAGATGTAAATAGCCGGGTGCATGACATAAAAGGTGTTTATTTTAACACACGTTAGTTGAGCAGGTAAATTGAACTATGTACCACCCGAAAATTTTGTGTCGAAATCCGCGCATCTATCAACTCGGTAAAATCAACAGCAAAAAATATCAAAATAAACACGACCAGTGCAATGTCCGCAATGAATCGAACGTCAAAAAAAGCAAACCTGACCGATGCATGCACAATCATCACAAAATGATCTGAAGAAAACTACGACCCGCAGTGAACGATCTGCCCGAATAAGCGTAGGAATTGAACTCGCAGACTCGCAGTTCGACAGAACTATCCGACAAATACAACACTCTCTCCCATTTTCCAGCACAGCCTGTATGAGCTGTCAGCTTTAGCCACTTTCTACCGCGACCTCAGCTTCAGGCGTCTTCAGAAATTGTGTTCAGCACATTCCCATCACATTATGAGCGTCAAATCTTGTCCAGCACCGTGGCATGTCTACAGAACTGAATCACCGCAAAGCTGCCCGAGGTCATCCATTTGGGGTCGAGCTCGGCCGCCTGTTTGGCCCGTTTGATGTTGATGCCGGCCACGCAGTCGGCCTTGAGGACGCGCAGCGCGGCCAGCGGCGCCGGGCTGAAGCCCTCGGCGGCGCGACAGAGGGGAGTGTTCACCGGCCAGGGGCGGTTTCCAATCAGCTTCCGGTAGTTGAGGTCGCCCTTGCTGAGCAGCAGGTCAGCTCCCTGGAGGCGCCAGTACAGCGGCGGGCACTCCTGGCGCATCATACGGAACGGGAAGGGCGACTGCCAGAAGGGCGACTCGGCCATCTCCCAGTGGCCGGTGGCGAGCTGCTTCCTCCAGCGGGCGGCCAGCTCCTGCAGCGGCCCGCTCTCGGCGTCGCCCTTCAGCCGCTCCAGCAGCCACGAGACGTCACAGCGCGTGGTGTCCGAGACGAACCACGGGAACGCCTTCACGTGGAAGGTGATCCGCTGCGCCAGGCCGGAGGCGCTCAGAAAGTCGGCCAGGCACAGGTCGGAGAACAGCTCGAAGCCGGCGTTGTCGCAGATAAAGTCGATGCGTGTCACTTTGCCGCTCTGCTGGAGTTTGTGCAGATACGCGAATATGTCCTTGTGGCGATCAGACAGCAAGTACTTGGCCAGCTCGGAAAGCTGCGCCAGGGGCGACGTTTTCATCGACATACCGCCCATGGTAAGGTCGCACTTGTTGCCCCAAAGGCTGATCAAAAGGAACTCCATGAAGGACACGCGGAGCTGCGACTTGGACAGCTTGGCAACGCCGGACACTGTCTCGAGGAGCGAGGCGGCCAGGTCACGCGCGACCGCCACCGACTGTTCAAAACTCTCCTTCTTCGCCGGGTGGAAGTAGTCATAATCCCTGATGACGCCGCTCGAGTCCAGGATGTCGTACAGCTTGCGGTACATGAAGCACTCGACGTAGAGCCAGTCTCCGTCATGCCAGCGCGGCAGCACGCCGTCCACGCAGGCGGCGTCCAACACGGCGTTCCACGAGGGCACGTCCTCCGCCTCGCCCGTCAGCCGCGTCAGGAAGCCGTTCGAGGTGAGAGACTCCAGCAGCGCCTCCAGATCTGACTGGATCATCTCCATCGACTCGCGGCCGAACGCGCCCACCTCCTTGGCCAGGCTCTCCTGGTCGGCGGCGAACGTGGCAATCACCACGCAGAGAATCCTCACCATCCGGGTGCCGACCGTGTCGTACGCCCAGGTGCCGATTATGTTGGGCCGGAGTGGCTCCGGAGGCACCGGCACCACGGCCGGACAGGACACCGCCTGTCCCATGCCCCGAGTGCGGGATGGGTAACCACAGGAAGCAGCACAAGTGGGCGGCTCAACTGACTCAAACGCGACGCATGTGACCGAAGCCAAAGACACTGAAGTTGCCGCGCTAAACTGATACTATGAATTTGGCCTGAACGGTTTGACGGGATCTGATCGGCGTACTGCAACGTTTACAGGATAATTTTGCCGTTAACTAGAATTTAATGACAAACATAAACATTACGAAATGAAAGTTCAACTAGAGATTTTGGCCCATAATTTAAAAGCGAAATGTCTCGGTAAAAATTTACCAAATCGTTGGGACAGCAAAAAACGTGTGGCGCTGTACAATGATACTCCGGGCAGAGGAAACGTCATATCGACGTTTGTAGGCAGGTATTTTGAACCCTTTTGAACCTACCTTGGACCTTAGTTGTTGAGCAGTGTACATAATTGTTTATTTACAATATTTGTATGCTGCTAAACAAATTCCTAAATTGGAGCAGCTTTGCAAAACATAAAAAAGCAAATAAAGTAACGATTTCAGTGGGTAAAAGATATAGGTACTCGCGGCATATTGCGCACCGTAGGCATACATTGGATGCGTGAATGAATTAAGTAGAACAAAATGAACCGCAAGAGCCAGGAATTTGTTTCGGCTTTACTTATTCAGAGCTCAAATAAATGACTCACATTTTGCACATGTATTAGGGAATATGGGTTGACTGTGCTTCATCAGAACCTCTCAAATGATATTGAATTGATATATGATCATAGCTAAAATATATACCTACACCGAATGATGCCTGGTTATCGCTGAGGTCATTGAAGGTCACCAAAGATAAAAATGTCAACAAAAATCCCGATTGTGACTTTTTGTACAAATCGGCGTAAAACTCGTGACACAAAAGAGTTAAAGAGTCTCGTGTAGGCGCATTCGATAGCTCTTTCAAAAACCTTTCGTTGAATTCTGTTCAGATTTGACATCAGGTCAACGGTTTGGACAACAAAGGGCAAATACAAAAAAAGAGACTGATTCGGACGAAACAGTTTTTCCAACAATTTTAGCAATAACTTTGGCGTCAAATATTGTATCACATTTATTTTGCCATCATCATTTTCATCTTGTCAAGACGCATCAAACGAACTATAAGTTGACAAAAATATCAACTTCAAAATCTGACCTCAGGTCAAGGTTCATAACCTGACCGGAAAAGGTCATTATGCATATCCATCGATCAGCATTGATGACATGAACACATTCCAGATGATTCCATGGCCGTACTATGCCTCTATCAAGTTATTGCCGAAAAACTGCTTGCGACCTTTCATGACTTTCGAGTGACCGTTGACAATCAGGTGTACCCTTCCAAACGCATATTGGTGGTATGGTTAT